AATTAAGGGACCAGAGAGCAAGTGTGGAAGAATAAAAGATAAAACCCTGGATATCAAGACTCTCCCTGTAAAAATTGGGACATCTGGTCACCCCTCTCTCAGTTGAGTTAGTACAGTGTGGATTTTATTGCTACTTCATATTCTCCATATGATGAACTAAGCCAATAATGATTTTTTTTTAAATCCATTAAGTCAAACTTAAGATAAATGCAAAACAAAAAAGTACAGCAATATTAAGTTTATATACTGGATATCAAGACTCTCCCTGTAAAAATTGGGACATCTGGTCACCCCTCTCTCAGTTGAGTTAGTACAGTGTGGATTTTATTGCTACTTCATATTCTCCATATGATGAACTAAGCCAATAATGATTTTTTTTTAAATCCATTAAGTCAAACTTAAGATAAATGCAAAACAAAAAAGTACAGCAATATTAAGTTTATATAGTTGTATGAGTTAACAAAAGCCAGAAGAGGAAGAGGTAGAATTCTCCTAGCTGCACTGGACGCAAGCATATATATATTTTATATTTATATTTCTGGACTTCTAATCCCCTGGTGCAACATCAATCAAGTTTGGTGTACAATAGGAATGTGAACGACTAGTTGACTATCCGATAAGCATTTGCTAGTTGACTAGTTGCTTCCCTTCCCTTGCTGCCTCTATCAGAAAGAGACAGCGAGGAGGAAAGAAGGGGATGCTTAAAAGCAGCAGCACTACCGCATGGAGCCTGGGCTGCACACAGCACTGCTGCTTTGAAATGTGTGCAGCCCAGGGTCCCCAGCTGGCCCCAGCCTGCACATGGCACTGCTGCTTTGAAACACCGGGCTCCCCATGGCGTTTCAAAGCATCAGCGCCACATGGAGCTTGGGCTGACCCTGTGCTCCATGCGGCGCTGCCACTTTGAAACGCTGCGGGGAGCACAGGGCCAGCAGGGGACTATGTGAGTCCCCCGTTGGCCCATGCTCCCCACAGCGCTTTCACCTTTGAAATGTAGCAACATCTATGGAGCTGTTGCTACATTTCAAAGGCTAATTGATTAGTCAATGCAATTGCATTGACTAATCAATTTGATTAGCCAAATAATCGAAATTTTACATTGCTAGTGTACAGCTTGAATCCACCCTGATCCAGCACTCTTGGGACTTGACTAGTCCCAGATGAGAGATTTTCCTGGATCAGGAAAGGTAATTTCTGCCCTCCCCCTACCACCCGTCACCACTCTCTTCAGGCTAATATGCATCGACTATTCGATTAGTCAGTTACTTGCAATTTAACATCCCTAGTGTATACCACATGACAGCATTTAATAAATATGCAATCAGGGGGCTGTTAGCAATATTATAATTATTACATTTCTCCTAAAGGGCCGCACATATATTAAGATCTAAACAAGCTGATATGGTTCTGTAGAGAATATCCATAAATCAAATCTAAATTGTCTAACATTAACAATCATATAATGACTGCTAACAAAAGGGACAGTTCCACAAAGATAGTGATATTACAATACTCTAACCAACATCTCCGAAAAAAACCCACCATAATTTCTGAACAATTAAAAAAAAAAAGTTTTACTAAAATAAGCCTATCATATTTTCAGTAGTCTGCAAGAGAGACTCTTTAAGTACTGAAAGCCCTGCAGCATGAACAATTTAATAAAAACTAGTATGTTATAAAGCTAAAAATGATAGCACATACTGTGAACTCTTTTGACTGTATTGCTCAACAGGAATTTTTAATATCTACCCTTTAGATAGTCAAAATAATTTCCTTAGTATAGTCACAACCCAAGTATTATAGTACCAACTCCCACAAGGACTAAGTGCCTGCCTCTCTAGCTGGGAGTTATTGACAGGTGCTTGATATAAGTTCTGTTTTCACTTGCTGTTTTTTTTTTATGACTAACTGTATCCTTTACTCAGCAAACAGGACATGCACAATGCTGATACTCCTTGGAGTATCATAACTGAAGAAATTGAAACCCCCAGATGTGGTGATTCAGATTTGGAAACTTTTTGTGTCCAGCCATCTTGTCAACTGCAAATAGTAAAATAACACCTGGGATAGAAAACTCTTACACAAAAATTACTACATTTCCCCCAATATGACATTTGTCTGATCACCACTGATTTTTTTTCATTTTTTTAAAAAGAAAAACAAACCCCCCCCCAAAAACCCCAACAACTCCACAATCTTTTTTCCCCCAAACACTGAATTCTCAATACTAGTTTTGATAGCTAAATAAATCTAATCTTGCCTGTCAAAAATACTAAGAATGTAGAGTTGTGTGTCAATTCTTGTGTTTCCCACTAAACAATATTAGTTCTTATTAATTGATTAACAGACAGCTAAAAACATTTAAAACCATGCAAAAGTGAGACCAATTCTTTAGCAACTTTGACATCAATCCTGCAATCATTTAAGCATTTGCTTAACTTACTACCATAATGCAGTCCACTGTCAGTGGAACTACTCCCAGCAGTAAAATTAAGCAAGTGTAGAAGTGAGTTCAGGTTAGCATGTAACACTTCAGAGCAAGAGTGTTCCAGTTATTTAACATACATCAAAGTACTGTTTTCTTGAAACTTCTGCACTAGTTTTTAATTTTTTTTTTTTAGCACAAGCTAGTGTTACGGAGTTTCTGCACTAGTTTTTAATTTTTTTTTAGCACAAGCTAGTGTTACGGAGTCTTTTATACACATTTTCAAAGGATCAAGATTCCCTTGATATGTAGTACTATTCTTTCAGACATCACTCTTCAGGTTTTCCAGTTAAGTGAATAAGCTTCTCCTTTCTGCATTACTCTTCTCAGCTACCCATGAGTATCACTGTAAAGCAGCAGTAACTAATTTACAGTTTTTTAGAGCTGCAAGTGCAGGAAGAGGATTGAATGGAAATAGGGTGGGGATGTGGGAAACATTGAGGAGGAAACTTCGATGGAGGCTTGGAAGGAGGCAAGACATGGAAGCAGGGTGATAGGTTAACTGGATAAATGGGTTTTTACATTCCAAGTTTGTACTGACTTTCTTAGTGTTTATTATGTAGCATTTTTTAAAATTAGGCACATAACTAGATGAGTTGATGTACCTCCCTGCACATGTGGGAATCATTGATTTTGAGGATAGTAGGATTGTAAGTAAGAGACATCATGTATTTGTCAAAAACAAATAATGTCAAACCAATCTTTAATTTCCTTCTTTCACAGAGTTAGTGGCCTGAGAGGCTGTCGACGTGCTATATTCTGATTTTTATTAAGGTTTTTGACATAGTCTCATATGACAATCTCAGTAAGAAAACCAGGAAAATATGGTCTAGATCAGTGGTCTCCAACCTTTTTAAGCTCAAGATCATTTTTTGAATTTAAGTGCAGTCCAACGTTACCTCAAATATAAGTACTTTTGTCCCACCTCCCTCCCATCTCTTCTCCGAAGCCCTGCCCCTGCACACTCCATCGTCTTTCTCTTGCCCATCCTCGCTCACTTTCATCAGGCTGGGGCAGTCTTGAGTGTGAGGGGGACTCTTAGCTGCTCTTGGGGCAGGCAGTTAGGATGTAGGAGGAGGTTCTAGGTGCAGACTCTGGGATGGCATTTGGATGGAGGAGTGCTTGGAGTGCAGGAGGGGGTTCACGACTGGGGTAGGAATTCAGACTGTGGGTTCCAGCTGGGCCCTGCCTACGTCAGGTGGCTCCTGGGTGGTAGAGCAGTGGGACTAACACAGGCTTGCCCTGGCCCTGGCCCACTCCCTAAAGCAGCCAGCAAACTCCATCCCAAGTCTTGTTGTGTCCCCTCTGCTCCATGGAAAAAGGTATAGAGTGGGAGGGGGCATCTTGACATCAGCACCCTTCTCTCCCTCCCATGCCCTGCACAGAAAGCAGGAGGCTCCCCAGGGGAAAGGGTAGCTACAAGAGAGGAGTAGCAGTGGGGGAAGGAGCAGCTGAAGTGCAGGCACTTGATAGTCTGTTGGCCAAACCAGTCAGGATCACCTGCCAGAGGCTCCAAGATCTACCAGTAGATTTCGATCTACTGGTTGGTGACCACTGGTCTAGATGAAATTACTTTAAGATAGGAGCACAACTGGTTGAAAAGCTACTCAAGAGTAGCTATTTATAGTTTGCTGTGAACCTAGGCAGGTATGTATCTTGTGGAGTCTTGACAGGGGTCTAGAACTATTCAGTATTTTCATGAATTACTTGAATAATGGAGTGGAGAGTATGCTCATAAAATTGCTTAAGACCCCCAAGCGAGGAGGGGTTTCTAGCATTTTGGAGGACAGGATTAAAATTCAAAATGACCGTGACAAACTGAACAATTGGTCTGAATTCAATAAAATGCAGTTCACAAGAGGAAAGTTCAAAGAACTCCACTTAGGGGGAAAAATGTCAAGTGAACAATTACAAAATGGCTAGGTGATAGTACTTCTGAAAAGCATCTTAGGGTTATAGTGGATGAGAAGTGGAATTAGTGAGAAGTGTTGATGCAGTTGTAGAAAGGGCTAATCTAATTCTGGAGTGTATTAATAGGAGTGATGTGTGTAAGATAGTGGACATAATTGTCCTGTTCTACTCTTGGCAGAGGTGACACCTCAGCTGCAGTATTATGTCCAGTTTGGGTGGTACACTTTAAGAAAGATGAGGAGAAATTGGAGACAATCCAAGGAGAAATTGGAGACAATCCAGAGGAGAGCATAAAAAATGATGAAAGCTTTAGAAAGCTTGTGACCTATAAGGAAAGTCTGAAAAGACTGGGTATGGTCTTAAAAAAAGAAGACTGAGGGATAATCTGATAACAGTCTTCACATGTGTTAAGGGCTGTTATATAGAGTTTCATGATAAATTATTCTCTGTATCCACTGAAAGTAGATGTAAGGGTGATGCTTACCAGGTAACTGGTTACCTGTTCACATCCCTATTCTGAATCCCATCATGTCCTACATTCCTGTTGTTCTCATCACATCAAAATGTATGAATAACTTTTTGCTTCTGTGTACTTCTGTTGCAGTCTCTTTCAGATGATTCATTTGGAAATTCAAAGAAAAAATCTACCATTCTCGAGAGACAGCCCAAGAAACGGGAATTGAAGAAGAAAGATCCTGTTCCATGGTGGATATCTGAGGATGATTCTGATGATGGCAGTAAATATTGTGCATTTCTACATAACTTCAGTTCTTTTGGCCACAAGATGTCTGTTAAGATCTTTATATATATTTATATATTTTTTTTTGTGTCCAGAAGAAAGTTCGTAATATGAGTATAGTTCTCATATTTACAACTACAGTAGACTTCCAATAATCCAGCACCTTTGGGATCCAGGGGGTGATGGATTATCGGATATGCCGGAGTATCAGGAGGTACTCTGCCGGGGGGCTGTGACAGGTCTGCCAGGATCCGCACTGCGACTAGGAGAGGGGGGGTGAGAGGGCGTGTCAGCGGGGAACAGCATGGCGAGGGGAGAACCCTCTGCTGTTTTGCATGACAGGCCAGCTGGGGCTGTAAGCGGCAGCAGCGGACTTGGAGAAGCGTAGCTGGGGTGCTGCCGGGTTGGTCCCACAGAGCCGCCCCTCACCTGAGCGGTGCTGTGGGACCAACCTGGCAGCATCCCAGCTGCTCTGCTCCGCAGCTTCCCCAAGTCCGACGCTACCATTTGCCTCCTGCCTGCAGGCGGCAGCAGCAGACTTGGGGAAGCAGTGAGGCAGAGCAGTTGGGGTGCTGCTGGGTTGGTCCCGCAGCGCCGCCCTTTGCCTCACCCCCTCTCCTCCGCCGCTGCTTGCAGCCTCAGCTGGCCTGTAGCAGGCGGCTGCATGGGGCTTCCCCCGTCTCCCTGCAGAACGGTGGAGGGTTCAGCCTTTGCCGCACCGTTCCCCACTGACCCTGGCTGGACGCAGTGCGGGTCCCGGCAGACCCATCACAGGAGTATAATCCCCTTCCACTGTCCTTCCCTCCCCTTCCTTTTCCCAGCCCATGAGCACACGTGGGGCTCACAGGAGCGCCAATTGTCCAGCTGGCAAGAGCACTTCTGGGTTCCAGTTGGTGCCGGACTATCAGGAGTGCTGGACCACTGGATGCCGGACAATTGGAGTTTTTCCTGTATTTACAACTTTTTTAGCAAAATAACAAGTACTGGTTGCAAAATACAAAATAGAAATGAATTCATTAAATTATTTTTATTCAAACCTTTTTTTCACATAAAGATAATATATTAATATATGTAGCATATAAATTAGACCTATTCAAATACGAATAGAAGTTACAATGTCATTAGTAATGCATAATAATATTTTTTCTTGCTCAATATCTGTAGAGGGAAGAGGAGAATGTTTCAAAATTAAATTATCAGGTTCCTGTTCATAATAATTATACTTGTATCTGTTCATATCGGGGGAGGGAGGCAAATGCAGGAGAAAAATCCACAATAAAAGCAGAGACATGCTGCCATTTCCTCTTCCTCAATGAGGTGGAGGTTTCTCACAGACCTGTATTGGTGTATTGGTAAAACTTATGGTCTTGATGGTTCTGGCAGTTTCTTGTGCAGAAATTACCATGATCACATCCTCCTACAAGAAAATATATATTGGTTGCAAAGCTTTACCTCAGCTTCCTGACTCAGTATGATTGCATGGTGACCAGTAAACAACAATCTAAGGAGCCAGCTTTTCACAGATTGCCACTCATTTTCATAATGAATCATGGCTCTTATTCTTATTATCCATTGCAGCAATGTAAGGGTGATCTCAGCTGAAAATTCCAGAAAGGATCCCCTAAATGACCATAAATGATCTGGGAGAAAGGGGTAAAGAGTGATGTGGCAGAATTTGCAGATGAAACTAACCTGCTCGAAATAGTTAAGCCCAAAGCAGACAGTGAAGAGCTTCAAAATGATCTCACAAAACTAGGTGACTGGGCAACAAAATGGCAGATTAATTTCAATGTTGATAAATGCAAAGTAATGTATACTGGAAAACAACCCAAGCTATACAGGCAGTCCCCGGGTTACGTACAAGATAGGGACTGTAGGTTTGTTCTTAAGTTGAATCTGTATGTAAGTCGGAACTGGCGTCCAGATTCAGCCGCTGCTGAAACTGACCAGCGGCTGACTACAGGAAGCCC